GCAAACATCTATACTTGAGACATACAAATAGAGATATGTAACAATTCCCTGATTCATACTTTCCAGAACTCTATACTTTTTCACATGATGCCCAAGGAGGGATAATTTATTGCTCGAATATATTTCACACCTTGAACTGTTTTTATGCATTTTGGTTTCATGTTATGCAGTGACTCTTGTATTTGTCTTCTTGATTTGAAGCAAAACCCTTTTTTAGAACTGTACTGATAACCCTGATTGGAATTCACTTGTGTTTCAGATTCATCCATACAACAATTATTGGTTATGTTACGTGGCAATTCATTATGTTCATATCGATCTATTATGTGCTCCTCCATCTAGCATTGAGTATAACTCATACATAACTGTCTTAACTCTACCATATTTTTTGGAACAATCACCAAGTCTTTTTTTTAAAAAAAAAAACTATGGATCTATTATTAGAGATGAAATGTGCAATGTATTGTTGAAAAATATTCATAGGTCCCAAGCCCGTCTAAGAAAGGTCTCTTCCCTCTTCCATGTCAAGAGAAAAAGAATGTTGCTTGATTGAGGATAGCATTTTACGGCCACATGAATTTGAGGGTAAAGAGCTCGCGATATCCGTTGATTTAATCTTTCGAGCAATTAGCGGAAAAAAAGGGTTAAGGGTTATACTATGTAAGTCTACTTTTCATACAATTTTGTTTTAAATTGATCATTTTTATTATATTTAGTTCAAGACTACCAAGTTAAAGGATATTTTTTGATATATGTTACATCTTTAATTTAAAACCATGTCAAATATTCTCCTTCGTACCAAAGGCGCTACCATTTCTTCGGAAATTTCCAAATAATCTGTAAGAAACTTTAAACTTTTGCAAAACAACAAAAAAAAAAGTTGTTTCTATCTTTTTGAAGGTTTACTCTATTTTATTTTATAAAAAAAACATCTAAACAGACGGCGTTCACACACTTGGTTCATTTTGCCGAGTTGATGTTTTTCTCCAGTTGGGCAAGTGAAGTAAAATTTGACAAAAAGTAATTTCCTTTTAACAACAGTAAATCCAAATACATATTGGTTTCCAAAGAATTAAAACTGATTGACAACACAAACAAATCAATGAACTTTCCCAGGCAAACTATAGAATACACGATCGTCGAAGTGAATAAATCTAAGTAGAAAATCGAAATGAAGAAACACTAGACATAAAAACCTACTCTCGAACACCGGAGAAATTTAAATTATGATAGATATCAACTTGATGAAGGAAAAAAAATGATAGATGCTTAACTTAAGAACAAAATATGACTACAGTGACAAAGTAAGCTACACCACTTTTGCAGAACATGTTATTTTCCTGCTTTTTACGACTCTCCCCTTTGCAAAAATCCACGGTTGTTGAGAAACTTGATTGTAGATTGAAGATATTTGTTGTTAGAGCTCAAAGATAGCTTGGCAGTTTCGACCAGCTTGGAGCAAATTTCTGATGCTCCTTGACATACCTACTTAACAAGCATTCTAGGATTAAACAACAGAACTTTGACTATTTACTTGCATCAAACCTTACAAACAATCCAACATTTTAACGTCCATCCATAAGAGATAGGAAGATTTGAAAAAAGCTTTCTCTTTCGTTATTGGTACTGGTACTAACTTGAATGTCTTGGAGATTAGGTGCAGTTTTATATACCAACCAGGATGACAGGTCCTTCAGTCAATGATTTCAGGAAAAAAGCACACAAAGAACTGTGACTTACTTCAAAAGAAGATGCAACAGCATTGCAAGCATCAAGTGCGAGATTTCCTCGGGCAGCCTTCAAAGACAGTATTCAGATTTAGCTTAATAACGGGCCCCTAATTCTTTTATCTTTCATGGAAGAGCAAAGGATAAGCAAGGTGTTACCTGTATTGGTTCTTGTAAAACAGTATCGATTAAGCTCTGAAGAAGAACAGTAGAAAATGAAAAAAGCTCTTGCAGATATTGTTGATCACAATAGAACAAAGAGTCATTGCCCATAACCTGGATGCATGATAAATCAATATTGAGAGGCTAAAGCACTAGGACACTTGCGAAAGAAAGATGAAAAATATATAGATATCCAATCAAGGGAATGAAAAACTAGTAAGAGAATGAAGGCGGTTCCTTTTTTAGGATAATCTTTCACGTATCCACCATTTATTAACATAGTACCAGAAACTGCAAGTTGTTATGCCCATAACAATAATTGTAACTGCCAATCTGACCTTTCTCAAAAGAAAAAATATATTTATAACAGGCATTTCTTCCAGTAAATGAAATGCCCACATGTATAGTTTCTCATTCCACCCATAAATAAAATGGTTGCATGTAGGACGATCTTACATGATGAAATGTCATACACACCTTGTTTTTATCAAGTTATACAGTATACTCGTGCACCATTCATCCTACACACCCGCTGTAAGGGGTGCCCAAGATATTGCCGTAGAAAGCAAACTTTTAGAACTATCTCGGTGAGAAAATAAGAGAAGAGAAGAGTGATGACCTGATGTATACAAGACACTTGTTTATAGATGTCAAACACAACAAACATGATAATTTATTGACATAAGATTGGCTCCTCAAAACTGGGAGTCAACCTTACATACAAAAGTGAGCACATATGGAGAACTCGTATTCCTTGTCATCTCGTAAGGAATCTAAGAGATCAAAAATAGGAACATGATCTTCTAAATACATCCCTCTACACCAGAAGTAAAAAGAGCTAGACATTTCATTTTCAATTTCTGTACTATACTATCTTCAAAAAACATCCCTTGTTCCTTTCCTCACAAATTTCTCCACCAGATACAAGCTTGAGAATTGAATATTCTCCACCCCCCCCCCCCCCCCCCACAACCACCACTGCGACCAGATTGCCAATTACTACAATCAACTACTATCACTGTTAGACAATCACCACTATCCGCCACCATTATATATAAGACAGCCAACATAATCATCCGCAACCATCATTAGCTATCACTATCATCCACCGTCACCAACTATCACCATTAACCACCACTTCCTGCCACCACTAGCTCTTACCCTCAACACCTCCAGTAGCCAACACCATCCTTAATTGACACCCACAACCACCACCGCTAGCCAGCACTACCACCAACCATCTTATGATTTTTTAAAAATATTTTATTGATTTAGCGTTAGATTGATTTGGTATTTTATTAAATTTTATATTAACTTATTTTTAAATGTTTTTGTAAAATAAACAATCTTAATTATTTAGTGTTCAAGTCTTAATACAACAATAGAAAATGTAACAAACCCTGTATAATTTCATTCCCACAAGTGGATCTAAAGAATTGAATATTTCCCCCCCCCCCCCCCCTCCCACATAACATCTTTCTGCTAGCTCCTAACCTCGCCACAGTTCTCAGAAACAGTGTACTTGATTTAAGCATAAAATATCAAATCCAAAGAAACCTACAATGTAAAAGCAGGTGTTGCTGCGATCTCCTGTTGTTGCATTAACAACATTAATGATACTACATTTTTTTCTTTAGATTGTCTAATGCCAAAATAGCATCCTATACTGCATATGACATAGAAAACTCCACCATCCTTGAAGCTCTAGATCTTCATAATGATTTCCAATCGGTTATTGCTTCTACACATTGAACAGAACTGAACATGATAGTATGACTTCACTGTGAAGTATTTACTAGATCACCCTTCCAAAATCTGAAAATCATCCTCTCTGAACTGTGTGGGAAGAGGGATGTATAACCTCTGGGAGAATGTTTTACCTCTTCAAATTCCCAACCCTGTAAGGGTCTTACAAGAATAATCTCAAGACACCTGCACACCACCACTTTTATGGACCTCCGCACCATGATCTTGTCACTCATAACAGAATAAATTTGGGAAGCCTTCTTTAGATGTGGTGTCACCATAAGATACATCAAGCCAGAACCGTATTCAGTTTACAGTTCTCACATAGAATCCAATACGCTTTGAAAAGATCAAATACCCTTCATAATCCATTTGCCGTCCCCATAAGTAGTTGTCACCTCCTTAACATTCATATCAGTCACAACTCACATCCATACTTCACCCAAATCACTTTCTTCCCATAGGATTCTCCTCGCATGTGAATCTCCTAAACTGTCTTCCCATAGTAAAAGTATCTAATGTACGAAGAGCTAGCTCATCCAGATGACGGGAATGAATCATTTCATTCAAACTATCTCATTCTTAATAAGCTGACTTTAGCAGGAATATAATGTTTTCCTACTTGGCTACAGCTGATGCATTCACAGCAGTGACACCTATGCCTTGGATCAAATTCATCTCTAATCATCACTAGTGTAAATGTTAGATGTGGCTGCTATAAAAAGTAATATTTCCAAGAGAAGGAGAATAGCCATCCTGTCTGCTAAGCTGGATAACAGGATATCAACGTGCTTGATTTACATACTTAATCAGAAAGGACCTGAGCATATCGGAGTAGATACTGAAAGTTGATGATGCAGAGCATCTTTAGGGAAATGTTCCCTGTCTTGAGAATATATATAACACTCCAAACCTCAATATTTCCAAGACTAAATCTGCTAGGGACTAATAATAACTGCAGGAAGGTTACCTACATAAATCATCTTTAATTGCTTTAGCACAAATGATATCCTTCTAAAAGTTTAACCACATACTAATTGTTTCCTTGCATGGAATACTATACATCTGAAAATTGATGTAATGTACAACCAAGTTCATAATTATATAACAGCAGGAATACCTCATCATGTATTGCATGGTACAGGAGATTATTCTGGGACAATGCAGCAACTGTTAAGATGAGTGCACATAACACCTTTGCCTTCATACTTGGCAGCATCCTATAACCCAACAATAGAACATTAATAGAGAATGGAAGGGAAATGATAAAAGAAGATATAAGGATGTCTCACCATGACAAGGAGCTGAGGATGGAAAACATATTCCTGGGGATGCTAGTGACTCCTCGCTCAATGTTACCTAGAATGAAAATCCAGGAGATAAGGCAGTGCCATAAAGCTCATTGGAAGTATAACTTGATCTTCTATCGAAACTTTTTGACATCTAAACATCTTAGCACACTTGTATCAATATCTTTTTGCTTATATTAATTATTAGCTAGGAAGATGTCCTAACTCAATTTACTTTTCCATAAACTTCAGCAGAAAATCGATTAATTCTTATCAAAAAAGAAAATTCACTTTATGCAGTTCTTTGACAACATTCTAGGACCTTACGCATTATCAAATTATTTGTTCCCAATGCCAAATATATATCCAAATTAGATACCAACTGTGGCCAATCTTATAAAAATGCTTATAAAGATGAGCAAAGCAAATTGGATACCAACTGTGGCCAATCTTATGCAAGTACTTATAAAGATGAGTAAAAAAGGAACACGTTCATCTCAAAGAGTTCAACAACTCCATGACTGGCAGCATAATTTCTACAAAATATAGAACCATAACTGATTGAAAACTATCTTCATCACATTAAAAGCTCTATATTTCCATTTCAGAGTTACCAAGAGACATTTCATGATCTAACTCCACAACTTTTGCCTTCTCCATCAATGAGTTTCAGTGACCATCCGATCTAGTAGTACTCTCTAGTCTCACTTTACACAAGACACTAGACCCTCACTATTAAGAATATTGTAAACAATATCGTTAATCAATTAGGAATAGTCCAATTAATTAGATTGATTCTTTCCTGTTTTGGCACTTGTACATTCACTATTTGAATTACAATAGCTTGAAGGAATAATTAAGCTGACTTGTCACTCAATTCTTCCTTTCTTGTCTTATTTTTCTAACATGATATCTGAGCATTGGTGAGAAAATGTTGATTGATACTAATAGGTTAATTACAGGAGTAGCATGATAGTGTATTGAATGTAATTGATTATGTGATATTGTCTTTCCTTATTTAGTCTTAGCACTCATGGTATAAAAACCCATTCTCATGGGTTGTATATTCATAAAGAAATACAAAGAAGCCTTTTCTTCTTCTTTAAATCTTCATGGTGCTCTGGTCTATCCCAATTACTGTTACCGATGTTGCACCCCCATATAAAAGTTTCCACGCTCCAGATGTCCTGCCTTGGATGTGAGGTGGGTGTTGAAGAGTCCCACATTGAGTTAAAAAGGGATGAGTGGTCTCCTTATAGCCTTGCGCAATCCTCCCCTCATCAGCTAGCTTTTGAGGTTGAGTTAATTTCAAGATTCATTTCTTTACATGATATCAGAGCCATTGTTGCCTTTTTGAGGTGAGTTATCTCCCTCACAGCACTAGGGTTCCGTATTTATCAAAGAGGTCAAGTTTTCTCTTTCTTGGTTGGCTGTCTGCATCACAATCTCCTTCCGATCAGTTCCTTTTGGAATTGTTTTTTTCTCCATTGGGTTGCTGGAACATTCCGAGCCTATTCCTACCAGCTTTGATTTATTTTGGCTACCATAATTAGGGTTCCGGAGTGGCAGCTACTTTTAATGTGAGATCTACTTCTCTAACAAATTTTTCCGATTTTTTTTCCATCTCTCAGTTCAAAGGCTTGTTCGGAGTACATACCTACCGATATTTATTTTTTACCGATCACCAAAATTAGGGTTCTGACCCAACAACTAGCTTTCCAACGACTTCTCCCAGAAATATTTTTCAGATCTCAGGTCGAAAACCTATTCCGACCCTTCCAATCCAAGTTCTAGAAGATTTGGTCCAGCCGTTCAGGCATAATTTTTCCGGCTAGATCAGGCAGATTCTATCTCAGGAAGGTTATTGTTTATTTCTGAATATCCGTGCTCAATTTTTGACACCAAGGATCATTACTTGTTCAAACTATGGGTGATACAAAAATAGATAATAATTCTGTCTCAAATTAGTGCTGTAAAATTGGATGTTTCAGAATATTTATCTTCTCCGTTTAGTAGTTCTATGAACTCTCATGGGATCATTAATCAAACATTTTACCCTTATACATCTCAACAAAGTGGGACAACTGAGAGGAGGAATAGGCATCTTATTGAGACTGCTCGCATACTACTCATACAATCTCATGTTACATTACATTTTTGGGGATACAGTTCTCAAATCTTATTATCTTATTAATTGTATACTTTTCTCAGGTATCTCTAAATCAAGTTCCATATGCTGTTTTGTTTCGCTATTCATCTTGTTCTCTCTTCCACCTCATGTGTTTGGAAGTGTGTGTTTGGTCAATAACTTCACTCCGAGAAAAGACAAGTCAGCCAATCATGTTCTTAAGTGCACATTTTAGGTTACTCAAGTGTGCAAAATGTATAGTGACATTACTCACTTGACGTCCAGTGGTACCTTATGTATGTTGATTTCACATTGTTGAATGCAACCATACTCAACTCTCCTCTTCTGACAACCTAAACATTTTTTAGGTGTTACCAGCTCCATGTTTGGGGAATTCTGTCATTATCTTTCCTTCATCTTGTCTCACAATTCAACCATCTATAGTTCACCGCCCACAGTCCATCATCTACAACTTCACTACTCTTGATGTGAGCATGTAACATCAGATCCAAATGATTCACGTCCTGTATCAGATCCTTCAACTTCTACAGACTCTTCTCATAGTCGACTCTTTGAACTTTGGAGAAGTATTTGATCCACTCGTAACCTCAACCCCCTTTATACATGTTTGAGTTGTCATTGGCTCTCATCAGCTCATTATGTCTTTGTGCCATGTTTAACCTATGTTTTAATCCTCATGTCTACAGGTAAAACAGTCTCTCACCCTGGATTTCAACTTGTACTAATGAGGAGATATCTGCTTTACCCAATAATAGTACTTGGGATCTTGTTTCTCATCCGGGTGAATTTGAATTGGTTGTCCGCAGGTTTATATAGTCAAATAGTCCAGGTGATCAAACAGATAGACTTAAGACTTGCCTTGTGACCAAAGATTACATTCAGATATTTGGGCTTTGATTACAATGATACTTTCTCACCCGTGCAAAAATAATATATTTTCATCTTTTTACCATCCATGGTGATATTTGTCATTGACCTCCTTATTTAGTTGGACATTAAGAATGTTTTTCTCCATGATGATCTTGAGGATTGAGGTTTATATAGAGAAACCACCTGACTTCGTCGCTCAGGGGAGTTCAGTTGCCTTGTTCACTTATTGCGACGATCACTTTCTCGTCTAAAACAGTCTCCTCAAGCCTGATTTGGTAAGTTCATCACAATTATGCAGGAGTTGGCATGAATGTGCAACTGATCATTATGTGTTTTATAGGGTATTCTTCTCTAAGTCTTTGAATCAACTTAGTGGGTTATGTTTGATATAGTCATTATTGGCAATGATCAAGATGGTATCACTGGATTGAAGCAATATCTCTTTCAGAACTTCCAAACTAAGGGTCTCCTGGATTGAAGTATTTTCTAGGTATTGAGTTTGCTCTGTCTAAGTCAGGTATTGTCAATTCACAACAGAATATGTCCTAGACATTCTTGAGGAGACGGGAATAGCAGGCTGTAGACAGTCCCATATGGAAGGGCTCTTGCTCAATTCACACTCTTATGGACCCAAATGCTAAGCTTCTGCCAAGATAGGGGAGCCCCTTAGTGATCCTGAAAGATATAGGTGACTGGTTAGTATGCTGAACTACCTTGTAGTGACTGGACCTGACATTGTTAATCATCTAAGTGTTATAAGTCTATTTATGGACTGTCCAAGTGCTAGTCATTGGAATGTAATTGTTCATATTTCTTCTATATGAAAAAGGACTACCTTTTGAGGATCAAAGTCATGCTCAGATCATAGGATACATAGACGTGGATGGGCAGGATAACCTTCTTATAGACGATCTACGTTTGGATATTGTGTTCTAGTAGGAGGTAATTTGATATTTTAGAAGAACAAGAAATAGAATGTAGTTTCTCAAGCTAGTGCAGAAAAAATAAAATCAGGCAATGGTTGCGGGAAACTTGCCAACTAATTTGGATCAAACAGTTGATCAAAAGTTAGAATTTGGAGATATCAATCAAATGAATCAAGCTTCGATTCATATTGTATCAGATCTGGTTTTCTATACCAGGACTAAACACTTCCTCCTCTAGAGGTTTCCTACTTTATTAGAGCATTTTAGACCATGGTCATTGGGATTTCGGAAAATTTCAGACTTGTTCTGATTTGTTCTAGCCCACTACATATATCTATATGCAGTTTGTTCAAATTAACTCTTCACACTACAGGTTCACCAGGTGGCAATTCCCAAGCAGTTGATATTACTATGTCTTGCTTACAACATGCTGTGCTAAGTTCCAAGATGACAAGACACAAAGACATAACGAAGGACAAGCAAAATAGAAGAATTGAAGAGGAACAGATCAAAAACCTGGAATCATAACAATAAGACTGCAAAATTTGCATAATGTTGATTGAAACCCATCAATGTCCTTGGGAATCCTTGAGCCTGCAGATAATGGTATTACAATTTGTGAGAAATATAGGAAAATAATATTATTGAATCGTTGTTGTGTCTACATTATTACATTGAGATCCTATTTATAGACACTAGAATACAATCCTTTACCAAGTAGGATACTATTTACTATTCCTGTTTTTATTTCTATTTCTATTCATATTCTAAATAGGATTGTATAAACCTATTCCTATTCTAATAGGATTGTAT